GGACACTCAAAGACGCTTCATATGTCATTATTCATTCACTCCATACACGGTGGTGACAAACTACTACAGTAGCCACAGCTGCCCTGGGGCACACTGACCGAAGCGAGGCAACCAGTATGTGCCATCGGCCCCTCTGACCACCATTCACACACACACCAGACTCATTCTAGGTGAAGTGTCTTGCCAAAGGACACATCAGTAGCTTGGTACTTTACAGCCACAGCCAAGGACAAACCAGGCCCTGCCCTGCACAGCGTCGGAGGTCTGATGGGATCTGGCTTTCAGATGCAGGTATGGCCACAAAGCTCCTCTCACTCTTTCCACTTTATGTACAATGCATCTATTTGTATCACCATTTAATGGTCATAAGTGACAGCACCTAACCTTTATAGCACCAGAGGTTGGATGCATCATATTACATCTGTGTCCTCAGTATCACTGATTCAGTGCCCGTATGAAGTATGTAGTGAGTAGGAAAAGGTGAGCCTTCAGTGAAACTGCAGCACTGCATCAGTCTCTGATGTGTTTTACAATCTCAGGCTGAATACAGACACTTTGTACCTGTGCATAGACAGTAATGAGCTCCGTGAACCTAACGTTACACCTCCCTGCTGTAGTGGAAAAGCAGAGGTCGATCTGAACTGTCAGTGCGATATGTGAGACACAGGCAGAGACAAAGACGCCAGCGCAGTGCCCCGAGATGTTTTCCTACAGTGGGAGCGTTTTCAATGTCAACTAACATGTATTTGACATCTGAGCTCTGTAAAAGACACACACTTACAGTGTCGATTGGGCATAATGTGACATCATTTGCAATACAGAAAATATAAGATATGAAATATATAGCACAATAACAGTAGAAAGGTTGCCGTCATATGTAATAGCTGTTCAAATATTTGTAAATGAATCTATCTGCAAATACAGCCATTCATTTGGATCTGACCACTACAGAAGCTTCTGGTTTGTTGATGACAAATCTATTATACTTACCTTTGGACCATACTTCTGGATGCAATCTTTGACCCGCTGGTGTTGTGTGCTGCTGCATGTATTTGGAGCCAGTCACGCATGATTGTGTAGCATTCCACTGTTAATTCAATTCAAGCCAATACTGCCAGTGACAGACCACATTTATATCATCTGAATTTTGCTGCATGACACAGGCTGCATTTTCATATTCTTCATGCTCTGCACACACTGTTAAATTACAAGCTGCACCTAAAGCAACCAACTGGCTCCATCATGACTTCATTATAATTCAGAGGATGTGGGACTCTGTTATAGTTTGCTGCTCATAATACTGCCGAGATCAGCTTCAAATTGCCACCTGCTGTCTCCTAACACCAGATTTTTTACTAAAACATGTTGACGTGGTCTCGGTGCTACAGAGTAATTTAAGTGTCTATAAATAAGTTATAGTATGATTCTTAATTGTGGAGGAACTGTAATTCAGACACACTTTTATTTTGCATAATGTCTGAATATGGGCCTCCATGATTAAAAAAAAAAAAAATCTTCTGTGGTTTTCTTCTTGCGGTGTAATTCTTCATTATTAACAGTTTATACCTTGAACAAAATGTAAACAATCATTTATATCATTTTCCCAATTGGGCATTGGCTTAGTGTTGAACTGAATGTTTAAAGTTAAAATCCCACACCCGACATTAACATAACTGGCTGAACAGTCAGATAAACTCCCATTGGAGATTGCTGGCTTGTGTCTTTGGGCAAGACACTTAACCAACCTTATTCCAAGTGTCTGCACACATGGTGTAAGAATGTATGAGTGTGAATGGTTCCTTGATGGAAGTTCTTTAAGGTGGAAAATGTGTAAAATGGGACCACATGTGTCCACTCTCACTTTTAACCCATACCTTCACGCTGCTCGTACAGTATCGCTGTGAACATGGGGTGAGCAAAAAAAAAAGCTGCTTAAGGCCAAAAGAATAGATTTTAATTGTTTTTTGACATTACTTTTATTTGTCATCAAATGTGTTTATTATTTGGATTTCACCAAACTGGACCAAGTACTACGGTAAAACATAATGTTTTCTATACTTCTAATGATGTGTTGGGTTTAAAATGTTAGAATAAATGAAATGTATTTGAGATAACAGGTGATGGTAGTCCGTTATCAATGCTGCAAGTTAATATTGATGATAAAAAATCAAATCAGGGGCCACTAAAAATAGTCTTTCGGCGCCTGCACTACAGTGTACAACAGATTACAGACACACCAGTATGTATTTTTTGCACTATTGGTACTCAGTATTTTATACTTTGCTTCTATATTAAGCTAAAGATTGAGATTTTTAAAGTATAAAGTAATGCTGTTCTTAATATTCACTTATCTTGGGTTGTGCGCTCCTCCCTCCTACTGTTCTGTAACTTGTGGTGCAACACTGAAATTCCCCACGTGGGACAAAAAAAGGAACTCTTAATCTCAATCTTAATAGCACCATATAAATGTGTCCTTTCACCAAATCAGACTTGTACTTTAGTCGTCCATATGGTGACTATGAATAATGACATGTATCTGGAGTAAAAATGTGAATTATAGATATATGGAAATCCAAATGGTCCTTTTCCAGCCTAAATTAGGTTCATTTTGGACCATGGCTGACGCAGCTATGTGAGAGCTGGATCAACTCCTTTCATCTTTGGTGGCAAATTTGACATAATGAGGAGGCTGTGTGGACGTTTTTGTTGCAATCCACTGGTCGGATGAGCACATCTCAAAACGAATACTTCAGTATTTTTTTGATGGAAAAGGGCACAGACTCAGAGGTCTACGGCACAACTCAGTTCATTAAAGTGACTTTGTTTCAAATCAACCATGAGTCTGACTCAAATGACCACTGTATTACTCACTGTGTCTGGACTGACACTTTAACCCTTTAATGTTCACTTTTTGGGGGATTTTCTATTCTGTAGGAGCACTGTTAACGACTTTTTTTTGGAACCTATTTTTTTAATTATAGACCTCTACCAAATGGTTGAGATGCAGGTTGATGGTAAACGTGCCTAATTATGTGTTATAGCAAACAAATGATCACTTTAAACCTACAAATACAAAAAAGAAAGCAGAAAATTAAACAATACCAGAAATTCATGCAAGTGAAGTATTTTTGATTGAAAACTGTGTCTTTCAGAGAATCAAATGATCAAACACAGGAATACGCAATCATAACAAACACATATGAGCCATTGTCCATAAATGTTAACAAATGTCCCTAAATGTCCCGGATCGGCAAGGAGCGGACAAAAAACATTGGGGAAAACTTCTGAGAAACAAATCCTTAGTTTGCCACACCTACATTAATCAAATTCATTGCACACTCCAGTACTGCTAAAGTAAAAGATCCATTCTAATTACCTTTCAACTGATTTAACTGTTGGCTAATGTTGGCTAATGTGAGCCTAATAAGAGAAAGGAGAAATACATTTAGTATTCTGTGTATATGTGTGCGGTTACACACATCCAGCATTTTAAACCTCCTTCCGGCCAAAACCAAGTAACAAAGGGATACACTACTCGGTGGAGAGTGGCAGAGCAGGACAGCAGGTTACAATTAGTAACTGAAAGCATGATGATATCAGGTCTACGAAAAACTGGCCTCCTGTGTGACGTCATAAACCAGTCAATAATATTATGTCAATACCTGTTAAGTAAGTAAGTACTGTATGTAAGTAAGTGAGTAATCTTTATTTATATAGCGCATATGCTATATAAACTGTGTAAGTCTAAAGTCTGATATTCCTTGCATCATAAGCACTATTTCCACCAGCCCTACTTGGCACTGCTCTACTCTACTCTACTCGGCTCTACTCTACCTGGTTGTGTTTCCATTTAGTATCTGATGCTGTATCAGTCCCACTTGCAACCGACCTACAACAAACCAGTATCCGTGGAAATTCCTTGGTAACCATGGCTTTAAGCAGCACCCACCAATCACTGTCAGTTAGAACACTTTAGTACAAGCTCGGCCTGGATAGAATTAGGGCCAAGCAGGTACTTAAAAGAACCTGGTACTGGTTAAACAGGGCCGGTGGAAACACTCCCAATCCAGGTAGGATATGGCAGAGTAGAGCCAAGTAGGGCCAAGTAGGGCCAGTGGAAACAGGGCTATTCACTATTTGCCTATGCTAATCTGTCGATGTTTTATCTTAAGCCATTTATGAGCGTTTCAGTTTGATTCAGGACCATGAATTCTATTACACAACCTTTTGAAGACAACTTCCTGCTTTAAGTCACATTTTGAAATAATATTCACGCTTCTATGTGTTCAGGGTCACAAACAGACACAATCTCTTGGCTCTCGGATACCTGGTGAGAAAAGGAAGAGGAGCAGAGCAGAGTGGAGGGGGCAGGAGCGGAGAGGCAGGAGACACCAGCAGGACACGTTTCAGTGTGCGCACGAAGCGTTGGGGTTCGAAACACGCGCATTCCTCTACTACACGGAGTTTACGAATTTTAAGATTATTCTGTGGGATTAGAAGGACAAAAAACTATTACAACAAGATGATATCCCACGCAAACGAATGGAGTACGTAACGAAGTGACTTGAGAAGCCCGCGGCGTGGTGTGCGCATGGCTCTCCTGGCTCAAATTCAGCGAAACAGCAGCCGATGCCGGGATCACAAAAGTTGTTGTTGAAGACGAAGGACGTTTGAAGGAGCACATGTGAGCGTCAAGCCTTGCCAAAAACCCAAAAGGAGACACATGTCGTTTTCGGATCACGTCACCGGATGAAGTGAAAGAACATAAAGGGAGAAGTCTCTTTACTCAGGCTGAACGTCCCCCGGCGCAGCGCTCAGTGGGGTCACTGTTGTTATACGGAAACTTCTCCAATCACACGCTCAGTCCAGTATGCCGCTGTCTATTTTAGTCTCCAGCGACTTGGCACCGAACCCAGAACAGAACAAGAGGTAAAGGGAGCGCGGGAAACAGCCACTTTCCTCTCTGTCTATAACCGCAGGGATTACGACTATACAGCAGGATGATCGCGCTTAATCTCCTCACTTTTCTTTTTCTTTTTGGTAAGTAATACAACCACCTGCAGCTTGTCACCAGAGCCACGAACCACTCCGTGAACTTTAGGGATTATGATCAGGCGAATTTACGAGTATTTGCGAATGTGGCTTAATGAGCTGTGAAGCTGGGAGTGCGTTTCCCCGCTAAAGGTCATCAGTATTCTCGGAGCGGCTGCTTGTGGGCAGTGGCGCTGTCCTTGGTGCTGAACAGGCAAAACCAGAGCCCGTTTGGTTCAGACTTCACACTCGCGCTCCAGTTCCAGTAGATAAATACTCGCATGGTTGTCTTTTTTGACACTTAGGTAATTGGATTTCTCCCTCATGGTTTTGAACTTCAAAAGATAAGCTGTTGAACTGTTAAATGCTATCGGCATGTCTGCTGCTGTTTTCATAAGACTTAGAAAAGAAATGCTCGTACCTTACTAAAAGGCTCATTAAGACCCATATTGACAGATTGATATTCAATGTCTGGGAAAAGTGCAATAAACATTAGTAAAAATGAATAGGGGTAGCAAGACACAGAATAGTCTAATCTCCATCAGGGTCAACAGTCTAATTGGAAAAATAATAAATAAACAAATACAAGATAGTATCCCATTTAGATTTCATGTAATTATGGCCTCATTTAGCCTTGTGAATTGACTATAATGACTTGAAGAATTTAATATGATTTAGACTTGAGCTAAACATCATTTTGACATTGAGCACCAGCCCATTGTGGCTTTCATGAAAATCTCTGATGCAGTTCCATGTAATTGGTTTTGGCTGTAAGCTGAGAAAGAAGCCGGGCAATGATGGCTGCATTTAGAGCCCAAGAATCCTCCAAAATACACAATGAAAGCTTTTATCTTTTGACTGGGAAAATTCATCTGTTGAAAAGGTTCTGTATAGACACAATATAATAATAAATGTGCATTCTAATGTGTGCTTTCGGTTCCTGCACAGAAGTGTTGGTGTGTGGCTCGGAGCTGGACCCTCCTGGATGGAGAGAACCTCTGGACTGTGTGAGAGCTTCTGAGATGTGTAACCAGAACAGTCAGTGCAGCTCCCGCTACCGGATCATGCGCCAGTGCCTGTCTGGAGGGGACAAGGAGCGCAGTGCCATGCTGGCCTCCAGGGAGTGCCAGGGGGCGCTAGAGGTCCTGCAGGACTCCCCACTGTATGACTGCCGCTGTAAAAGAGGCATGAAGAAGGAGCTGCAGTGTCTTCAGAACTACTGGAGCATCCACATGGGTCTCACTGAAGGTAGGGCCATAACTCAGTCCTCTGAGCTGCCACACAGAGAAACACTGTTTGGACATGTTTACGTGTGCTAAGATTTATTATTAGGCAAAGCAAATTTATTTGTGTAGCACAGTTCATAAACAAGGCAACTCAAAGTGCTGAACAAAACAACATCAATGATCAAGGTGCATTAAAAAGAGTGAAGAAATACAGACCTCAAAACTGCGTTTGAATTGTTTGTGTAAGTTATTTTTATAATACAATAACCTCTAACTCTATTTTGATGTGTTACTGCTCATCATACTTTGGAACCAACATAAAAACAATGATAAATCAATCTAGTTCACATGGGCCAGAACTTGTTTCCAGTTCTGGCTACAATTGATTTTGAAACCTTCTTTTTGTAGCTCTACTGAGGTCAGTAGATCAGCTTGTTGTCCCTCAGACAAACCGTCAGCTTCAGGGAACTGTGCTTTTTCTGTGACCGTTCCACGGCTGTGGAATCACCTGTCAATAGACGAGCTGAGTCATAGCCAGTTCCAAAAACAATATTTTTTCACTAGCTTGAAAGACATTGTCACGTTGCAAAATGAAATGAACTCAACATACAGGAATGCCATAATAATGATTTAATGATCTAAAAATAAAAGTCCAAGATAGAAATATATTCAAAATACACAGGGCACAGGAACCATGAAAACGGACAGACATAGACATTGACAATGGACCAGCAACATAAGGGGTACATATAGATTAGGGTGGGGCAGACAGTCAAACAGGACAGGAAGCAAAACTAAAATGAAATAACAAGAGAACCAATGTCAAAAAAAAAAAACCATTACCAAATAACTAAAATCCACACCACGACAGATGTTTTTGTTCCTTTCGTGCTTGTAGATCTGATTTTGCTGTTCTAGTTTCACATGTACCACTTCTAAATCCTTCTTGGACCAGACCAGGAGCAATGTGGTTCAAGATCAAGATTGAACTAAAGTAACAAAGAAAACGTGTGTTGTATCCTCCACTAAGAATTCACCAGAGCATTACACTATTTTGCACACATGTGTACCATCCCTGAAAGCTGTGAAGCAGAACAAGCCACACCACATTATCTGAAACATTGGCTGACTGCAGGGGGATTCGAGAGACCCCAGACACCTGGCTCAGGTCTTGGTCCTGGTCCCACTGCGGCTCTGCCTTGTGTCTGTGTCAGCAGCCCTGGCACACGGCTTCACTCTGGCCTTCCCGCTGCTGGCCTAGTTTGGGTCTCAGCAGTGGCAGCGCTCATTAGAAGCCACTCACTTTGTTCTCGGCTGCACTCAGATGTGGCTTTGCAATGCTAACAAAAACACGGTGGTATACACAAACAAGGCCGACTGAGAGCTAAGACGAGATAGAGCTGCCATCGCAACGCTGATCAAGCTCCGTCACACTGCTGGAAAGATACAATTACCACTCAGGCTTTTGTCCATAAAGAAAGTTTTCTTCAGTTTATGGGCAGCATTAGTTCATTTTTGTGTAATTGGCGTAATAGTGTCATTCTAACTTGAACGCTGCACATTTTAGTTTTAAATCCTCCAGTGTGAAATTGTTCCACTCTTATCTTATGTGTGAAATTAGAACATATTTTAAGATACACTTGTGTGATACTAAACAATTCATAATGATTTTATCTGGAAACTTGAGAAACGTCGGTATATCAGGAAAAAGAAGAGATTATTGACTGAAATCTAATCTAATTACGACTTCCAAGAGGCTTCAGGCTACTTTATTATTTCTTCAAACCTTTTATATGTATGATGCAGATACACAATAAATTACTGTGAACAGCCGTTAACCTGAACTTCCACGACAATCTACAGTGCCGCATAGTGACGGAAATCACACTTTTCATGCAGTTTTGTGATCAAAAATTAGTAATGGTATTTAAATTTAAAGCTCTGCCAGATTCCCATCGAACTCAGGAGGAGAAATGTTCCTGTTTGGAAAATGATTCATAAGTTAAAGTTTCTTGATCTAAAATATACAATCATTTTGTTTGGAATTTGTCATCTCTATGAAGCTGTGAAGTGAACGGATCTGCCTGGTTCAGGAAGTAATATTCTCAATATAAAATGATTATAAAAGATTCCAAACCTGTTTAAGGCTGATCAGTTATGGCCTCTCTATCTACATTAAAGCAACAAAGTAAGTATGTATCTTATTATGTTTCATCTAAAACACAAACTTAGGCAACATTTTTAGTTCATTGATGTTTTTTCCCTCGGCTAAAACCACTGGATACAAATTACCATGTTGTAGTTAGCCTCCATCGTCTTCAAACTCTTGATATTTGGATCCTTGAAATCCCTCTGGGGATTTTGAAAGTGGGATTTCAATGACGTCTGGAATCCTTAGCTCCGCCCACTTTGCTGGCCCATCATAAAAGTCCTTGTTATACATCACTTTAAAAGCCAACAGAAAGTCTTGTTTTGAAACGAAGGCTCAAGTTTTTGAAGTATTAAGTACACTGAAGAGTTCTCCTGCCGTGTGCCTCTGTGCATGAATATTTAACAGGACACAGAGCATTTGTTTGCTCTTCAGCTCAAAAAGTTCTAATAGAAGTCGAGAGGAAGAAGCAGGTGGTTTGAATTCTCATCAATGTTCACAGAGAAAATGAAAACATTGGTTGGACAGGAGCGATTCAGACGTTTTACTCCACAGAAGACTAAAAACAATGGAGTATAAGAACCTGTGTGTACATTATAGTCAATAGTGTCATTACGTGTTGAATATAGGATAGTGCCCTCAGCAAAACTGGATCTTGTGAGATATTTTTGCTGCGTTTACATTTGGTTTGGACCTGATGTGGGTTTTTATATAGTTTCTAAAGTGCCACAATGGTGTCATAAAGTAAAGCGCATTGTGAGGTTTCAATTGTGACCAATGTTGCTTTCAGTGATACATTTTTGGCGATAAGCAACACAATCTTTGAATCTATTTGCCCATTTCCTGAACCACGCCTGTTTCATCATGAATTATAGTCGTGTTGTTTTGACCCGACCTCGCGTTTCAAGCTAAGTCTTGTCCCACCGGTGTCTATGCATGAATATCACATGTACATATATCTGAATATCTTATAAGTGCGTTCTTCGACTTTGCTGCTGGTGACCCGCTTTTTGTGAAGTGCTCGGATACTGGCTTCTTGTGGTAGATATGTGAATGCTTTGCTTGAGATCTGGCTCGGTTTTGTTGAAAAAGTGCATCTTCCTTAATTATTGATGTTTAAAAAAATTATTTAAGACTTGCCTCTCCATAGATATAGCATGTAATATAGCAGAGTGAAATTATATGCTTGCTTCCAATGTAAAAGAAAAGTTGTTGACTGACTAACTGTATAAATATCCATGTAAAAGAATAACATTTAGATGATCCCAAACTGTCTTGTTGTGAGCTATTCTACCCTAACCCTAACCCTTTTCAAAGTGCTGCACAGTTAAATGAAAAAAAGCGATACAAATGACAAGAAAATGAAAAAAAATTACAAAGTAAAAAGATTATTGAAAGCAATACCAGAAAACATAGGCAATAAAAATACGGCAGAATAAAATAATAATATATAAAAACATGTTATAAACCAGGCTTAAAAGGGCATTATGCAACTTTTTATGTGATGTCATGATTGTCATTCTTAGTTTTACTTCCTGTTGTGCTGATTGCCTGCCCAGCCCTAATGTGTTTCCCCTGTGTCTCCCCGAGTGTAGTTAAACCCTGTGCTCCTCTTCTTTTGTGGTCAGTCCATTGTATTCTGGTCCCTTTGGAGGATCTTGTTATTTTTTCTGTCACAGGTACAGAACAAAAATTAGAACTCTAATGTAGGACTGCCGAAAATATAGTAAAATTCAATAAACAAAACTCAATAATAACAAAAACTGGAATCCAATATCAAACCACAGGGACAAGAATACAATGGACTGACCAAAAGAAAGGAGAGCACAGGGCTTAAACACACTCAGGGAGACACAGGGGACACACATGAGGGCTGTGCAGGCAATCAATAGAACAGGAAGTAAAAGTTAAAAAAAGACACAGGAGAATAAATAATTCAAAATAAACAGGAACTAAAAATCACAACCATTTGGATTGATATTATTTTGATTTGTTTGAAGCAGCTATTTAAGTATAATGTGTACTAAAGGGTAGGCGTCTATAAGCTTATTCTGACCTTTTTCTCCCAAGTACCTGAAATCTTTTTGAAATTGTCAAAAATTTCTGAAATACATTGATGAACTGAAATTGAAACTTAAACAATGGCACCTTCAATGTCCATCGCAGAGGTCTCTGGAACTCTGTAGGATCAATTGTTGTTTCTCTGATAATGGATCCTCTCACCAGAAAACCATACTCAACAGTTGATCCTGAAGCTCTGTAGACACAACCGAAAGCGAAAGTTTATGCACCATGCGGATACACCCTTACGGCCACTGGCTCTCCACAAAGTCAAATTAAGAAAAATATAACCTTTTTTCCACATAAGTAAGTCAGTAATGTTTATTTATACAGCGCATTTAACAGACCCAGGTCACCCAAAGCGGTTTACAATTGCTACAACCCTGCTCAGCTTAGGTGTAAAGGAAGCAACAACTAAAACCAAGATGTTGAAATGGAAACTAAAATCATAATTTATTCAGACGACAAAATAGGTAAAAGGGGTAACATAATAGGATTAAATATTTACAAAACACAAAGAGGACAGACGCATGGACAGAACAGTGGACAGAATCATTGACTCGCGGGATAGAACCTTAGACGCGCAGACCATGGACCTGTGGACAGAACCGTGGACAGAACCATGGACTCGTGGACAGAACCATGGACTCGTGGACAGAACCGTGGACAGAACCATGGACTCGTGGACAGAACCGTGGACAGAACCATGGACTCGTGGACAGAACCATGGACTCGTGGACAGAACCGTGGACAGAACCATGGACTCGTGGACAGAACCATGGACTCGTGGACAGAACCGTGGACAGAACCGTGGACAGAACCGTGGACTCGTGAACAGCTGAGAGTGGATTTTTTAAAATGTTTTTTCCCCCACACAGTTAATTCCACTTTATTCCCAAACTCTTGTTAACTCATTGCATTGAAAAATATTAAAAAAGCTTAAAGGAGATATACCCGTTTCTGCAAAGTTTGAATGTTTAGCTCTCATCCCACGGAGCCATCTAGTTTTATTTACGATCTGATACATTTGCAAACAATAGCATGAGCGAAACTTCTTCTAAGATGCACGACAATCACTGATGAAATGGTACAAAAGCAACGCACTGCCAACAAAATATATAACTGAAAGATTACCGCTAGTTTTGCGTCCGAATGTGTAGTCCAAGGCGGTCCCGCTCCCTCAGTCTCTCCAGAGGATACAATGTAAGCTAGCTATGTTCTCCCGGGCTTGATTTCTTCTTTGATCATTTTTTGGCTTTAGTTCCCTCTTTTCTTCCTCACTGTTGTGTCGTTTTGGCTGTTTTGCTCTGCATGCAGTTACAGCAAGAGGAGTTATAGCCAATTCTGCTAACATGTTACTGTATTTAGCAGCGCTGTAGAGGCTAGAGGACGCATCCTGTTCTGTGATTGGAGGAGAGCGGGTGTCACGCTAAAGTCTCTACTCAGCACTTTTTACGGCCTGAATTCATACACAGCTGAATCAATGAGCTCAAATATTCAATTAAATTACGGATTATAATACAACTTGTATGTAGTAATAAGCATTTTTATGAACTCATAAAAAAAAATTGGGTATTGCTTCTTTTAATGTCAAGGCCTGGATGTCTATTGAAGCACTTAGATGAGAATCACTTTATATTGTGAATGTAGGCTACAGAGTATATATTTTTACATTTTCTCCTGGTGGTGTGCTGTGAGATTTTTTCAATGAAAAAGTGTGCCTTGGCTCAAAAAAGGTTGAAGAACACTAACCTACAGTATACAACTAATAAGTAACTGACAGAACCAAAGGTGTACGCTAAAGTAATAAGTCTCACCAAAACTCAGTCAGTCAGTTCAGAGTTCAGGTATTTTTCCATTCTCTCCACACTTGTCTTGCTTCTGTGATGACAGAAGCAAGACGCTGAATACACTGACACATCCAAGCCCCCAAGTATCACCATCCACTCATTACATTCTTACCTATTGTACATGTTTTTAGTGGTAGGGGAAACCTGGAGCACCAAACTCCACACAGAAAGGAGGTAGAATCGAACCCAGGACCTTCTTGC